CCTGTAAAGCTGTGGAGTGTGCCTGAATCCAAGTAGGTAGTGGTCAGAGGATTGGAACTGAATTGCTGAACCGTTGCTGTCCAGAGACTCGTGAAGTTGGGTGAAATGTTGGAAAACAAAGAAAGAGCCCGCAATTCCTTTGAAGCCCTACCCAGCGTACATAAGCATAGTAATGTTTAACTGTCACACACCAGGATCAGGGAACTGATGCCTACCTAGATCCCACAAAGTGCCTTAATTGGATTTATACTTTACTGGAAAATCTCTAACTGATGGCCTGAAGCAAATAAAGAAGTCGTCGTGCAAACAAGAAGACTTGTGCTCTTTCTGAAACAAGCTAATGGGAACCAGAAGGTGCAAGGAATATAGGACATCAAAGCCCAGTCACAGTCTCTTTTCATTTCTCCTGCATTCCAAAAAGGGGGACTGCACATACACAGTGAGAAGCTGCTGCGTTGTCTGGAAAGGAAGACTTGAACACGTACTCTGAGACATCTCAATATAGTGTGTCTCAGACAATGCACTTAACTATGATCTTTTATTAATATATAAAACTATGGAGGACATGATATTGAATGTCCCATTCTCTTTCAGTAGCCTGGCTCCAAATAACCTCTAGATGCGGAGTATTAGTAGTCCACTTCCTTACATCTGTTCAGCCATCCCTTCTAAAATGCTCTCCTGTACCTTGCAATCTGCGTTCACCACCACCAAGGGCAGTGCGGACCAAGCTTGCATCTGTCGCTTATTTGCTCCACAGCACTGTGCTGATTGAGAGGGACTGATGGCATCTGACTCTCCCTCAAACTCTCAACTTTTTCAAAGTGATTCATTTGCATTATATTTATTTATTTATTATATTATTTTTGAGATGGATGTTTTTACTCTGCTTGCCCAGGCTGGGAGTACAGCTGGGCATGCTCTTATCTCATCGCAATCTCCACTATTTTGGTTCATAGTGTATTTTCTCTTTGTCCTTCATGTTTCTTCCTGATGTAGCTGGGTTTTTTTTTTATTCTAGGTTAGCCACTCTATTTGCCTTTTTTTTTTTTTTTCTCCTCTCTTCTTTTACTTTCCAGTATTGTATTTTTTGTGATGATGGGTTTCCATGTGCCAGGTGGTCTCAAACTCTGACTCAAGTGATCCACTGCTCCTGCCTCAGCCTCCCCAAGTGCTGGGATTACAGGTGTGAGCCACCACACCCGGCCTCTACCTTGCTTTTAAAACACAGAGTAGACCTGCAAATGTTTCTCAAACACTGTATATGCAAATCCCTTTCTAAAAACACACCACTTGCTCTTACATCCTACCATTCATTGATCTCACCCTGCTTACCTAGCGGGTAACTTTGCGTCACAAATTCAACGTCTTCAGTTAAATGACATATGCTTCAAGCATCAGAGCTATAACTGATTTAAGTTTACGTTATACTCTGTCAAAATTTTCCCTACTTTTCATGGAGCAAATGAAGCACAGCAGGGAACTGATATTTTTTCCAGTATGAGGTTCCCCTTTAAATGACTTGATTTGTTCTACAAGAAGCACTGACTTCAAGGAATGTCTTTACAAGGAAAACAAAAGGAGTAAGGTTAGGACTTGATAAAAACAGCAGATGCCCTGTCAGAAAAAGTGCAATCTCACCACACACAAGAAAAACTCAAGAAAGTGTCTAGTATAATTTACAAGCATTTTCATTAAAACAACTTTAAAACAAACAGCACATAAAGAAAAAAAAAAAAACTTTTAATTGCATGGAAAATCCAGCTATCCCAAATGACTCATTTCCCAGATGGGCAGTATGTGCACTTTTACAGAGAATGGTCCCGCTGCCAAATGTTCACAGCATTGTGGGAAGATCCATTTTAAGCCACATTGTTTACTTACCAACTCTGAACCAATCCCACTGAAGGGCGGTTAAGTAAATTATCCGGCAGAAGATTAACTTCTCTCATTGTGTTAGCCAGCCGCACAGGAAGTTCCTTTCGTAGAAACATATATGAAGTTTTCTCACATGCATTATCTCTCCCTATTAAGACATGAAAAATGTTCCATGATTTTATAGTCTAACAGATGGAGAAATAAAGTGCTCCCATGGTAGCACGGTTACTACTGGTTGGAAAGAGAAAATTAAATAATCCTGCAGTCTCTAGTTGAATTTTTATCCTTTGAAATAGCAAGTTGAAGAAAATAATTTAATTAGCAGAGAAAAAGAACATTCATTACAAGAGGCAACCTTGAAAGCAGTTTTGTTTGTTTGTTTTTTTTCTTAACACAAAAACGTTCCTAGCGTTACCAGCGGCAATATAAAAGTGACCTGGGATATAATCTGAACTTGTTTTCAAATAAATACCGTGGGAAAACTGCCAAGTACAAAAGTAACAGAACATGTAAATCCACTCCCGTTCATAGGGCTTTCCAGGAGGCAACGGATCCATTCATTTCACAAATATTCACCTACTGTGTGTGCCAACTGTTTCCTAAGATTTTCCTACAGTGTGTTTCTTCAGGGACCGTAGCTCTGCCCCTCTGGAAGTAGCCACAGACCCCAGAGACCCTGTGATTCCAGAGGAGAGGCTCTGACTGAGACACAGGGCTGGCATGGGCCAGAGAAACATGCCAGAGAAACTATCTCCTGGGTGTACTCAGAGGCAGAGGGATCTACCGTGCCACATCGGAGAGGGTAAGATGTGGGTTGACCATAAGGAAGGAGGTCAGTGCCTTCTGGAGGCTTCCCTGAACTGGCTGTGCATAAAATTTACATAAACAAGATGCCATGAGAGGAAACATACCTGGCCACTTAAAAGAGGAAACCTGAGCTCCTTCCTCTGCTGTCATGTGGCAAGAAGAGTTCTAGCATCAGCCTGGCCTGCAACCCCCAGCCCTGCTGGAAACTCCATGGTGGCTGGTGGTGGAGGGCCTGATAGAAAAGGCATGAGCTTTGGAGACACAAATGTCCTCCAGCCCCTCCATTTGCAGGTTGTGAAAACTTTGGTAAGCTTCTTCACTTCTGAGTCTCAGCTGCCTTAATCTGTAAAACGGGGATAAAACTCGTTTGTGTAAGGACTAAATGTGATACTGTGCATGGAGGCTGACACGGAGCAAGTGTTGGACAAACACTGGCCCTCCTGGTCTCCGTGGTATTGAGGAGTCCATCCCATCTCCCTCGCCCTGCCTAGGCCTCTTTGCTGTTCCATATTCCCTGGAAGCTGCACAGAAATGGGCAACATCGTGGCCAGGCCCAGAGAGAGATGAGCAGAGCTCATTTAACAATTTTCTCTACCAAACTCTCCTTATTCTTCTGTAGGTCATGAAGGCAGCAAGTCAGAGATTCAGAAGTAAATCCAATTTTCTAACACTTCCAGTCACATTCTGGTTTATTCATTTGCTCTCCCTACCAAATAAAACTTGAAAAAAAGAACCTAGTCTAGAAAGTCATCTGCAGAACCTTTCTTCCCCACTCATCCCTGACCCACTTCTCCATTCTCAAAAAAGTTACAATAAAAGATGAAAGTCTGAAATAATCCATCCCTCATTTCCCTCATCCTAAGTGAGTATATGGAAGGCCTTTGGTAAATCTTTTAACTAATTGATGATTCACTTTTCTCCTTTGTACTTTCACTGTGATAAGGACCTTAATCCCCAAATACCCACTTCAGGTAAGAGGGGAAGGGGTGAAATGCCCCCGCAATGACCTTCCAACATCTATTCTATACACATTCATTTGGCCTTAGGCAATTAACATTTTAAATGACTCTGGTCTTTTTTTTTTTTTTAGACGGAGTGTTGTTCTGTCGCCCAGGCTGGAGTGCAATGGCACGATCTCAACTCACTGTAACCTCTGCCTCCTGGGTTCAAGCGATTCTCCTGCCTCAGCCTCCCAAATAGCTGGGACTACAGGCGCCCACCACCACGCCTGGCCAATTTTTTGTATTTTTAGTAGAGACGGGGTTTCACCATGTTAGCCAGGATGGTCTCGATCTCCTGGCCTCGTGATCCACCCGCCTCGGCCTCCCAAAGTGCTGGGATTACAGGCGTGAGCCACCACATCCAACCAGCTCTGGTCATTTTGCTTCAAATAATATAGAGACAGTCCCCAACTTAAAACAGTTCAATTTATGATTTTTTGATTGTTTAATCTTCTGACTTTATGATGGGTTTATCTAATTATTAAGTGCTTTTTTGTTTTGAGACAGAGTCTCACTCTGTCACCCAGGTTGGAGTGCAGTGGCACGATCTCCACTCACTGCAACCTCCACCCACTGGGTTCAAGCGATTCTCGTGCCTCAGCCTCCCAAGTAGCTGGGATGACAGGCGCCCATCACAATGCTCGGCTAGTTTTTGTGTTTTCAGTAGAGATAGGGTTTCATCATGTTGGCCAGGCTGTTCTCGAACTCCTGACCTCAAGTGATCCACCCATCTTGGCCTCCCAAAGTGCTGGCATTACAGGCATGAGCCACCATCCCTGGCCAAGTGCATTTTTCAGTTACAATATTTTTGACTTATGATGTACTCATCAGGATGTAACCCCACTATAAGTCAAGGAGCATCCGTATATTATTCCTAAAAGGTTCTGTATGAATATAGCTTTAACTTTAAATGCACTATAAATGCTGCTATTTATCACAGTGAATCTCATTATAAAATGAATTCCCTATTATCTAAGTTAAAATATAAGTCTAGCTTTTCACATGCCAGGAGAAATACTTTGCATCCTGGTTAAACAGAAAGGAAATTCTCTTTAAATCACAAAAGAAACATTGATGTTCTCACTGTGGGATGACAAAGACTCTCTCCTTTGACCAAACTTGAACCAGGTTCTCCTGGGTTTGCTTATTTGTTTGTTTGTTTTTGGAGACAGGGTCTCACTCTGTCACCCAGGTTGCAGTGCAGTGGCACAATCACGGTTTACTACAGCCTCAACCTCCTGGGCTCAAGTGATTCCCCCACCTCAGCCTCCCAGGTAGCTGGGACACCTGGCTAATTTTTGTCTTTTTAGTAAGGAGGGGGTTTTGCCATGTTGCCCAGGCCGGTCTCGAACTCCTGGGCTCAAGCGATCCTCCCATCTCAGCCTCCCAAAGTGCTGGGATTACAGGCGTGAGCCAGCGCATCTGGCTCTGAGTCTTCTTTTTGACTAGGCCTCGACTTTGGGTTCTATCTTGACCTGCTTAGTCCAGTCTTAGCAAAAATCCTGCTGAGTCATTTCAGTGAAAATCCCCTACCCTTGGTGTCTGATCCCCCTACCCTCGATATCTTATCACCCTGGCCTGCCTTCAACAAGAATCCCCTCCAACCTGGACTTTTCCTCTTAGTAACTTTCCACCCATTGACCCACACCCTGCTTCTTGGCTATAAATTTCCACTTGTCCTTGTTGCACTAGGAGTTCAGCCTGATCTCTCCCCACTACTGCAAAACTCCCACTATAGGGGTCCCTCTTGAATAAAGCCTTCCCTACCATCTTTAACAAGTATCAGATAATTTTTTTTTCTTTTCTTTTTCTTTCCTTTTTTTTTTTTTTGGAGACAGGGTCTCACTCTGTCACCCAGGCTGGAGTGTGATGGTGCGATCTTGGCTCCGCCTCCTGGGTTCAAGCAATTCTCCCTGCCTCAGCCTCTGGAATAGCTGGGATTAGAGGCATCCACCACCACGCCCAGCTAATTTTTGTATTTTTAGTAGAGACAGGGTTTCACCATGTTGGCCAGGCTGGTCTTTAACTCCTGACCTCAGGTGATCTGCCCGCCTTGGCCTCTCAAACTGTTGGGATTACAGGCATGAGCCACCACGCCTAGCCAATTTTTTTTTTTTTCTTTAACAGGAAAAAGGAAGTTCTGGAATAGGGAAGAAGTAGAAGAATTCTGGTGTTAAACTGAAACTGGGAGTATCAGTATGAACTAATAATTTTTTCACAATTATGAGTTTTTGGGGGTAATGAAAGTATACATGTTTAAATTTCCAAGTTGGCAGCCTGTTAGGAGCCACAGGATACAAGCATGTTGTGAGCAGTGAGAGCTGGCTGGCAGGCGTGAGGTGGCCGCAGTCAGGTTCTCATCTCTTCTCTGAAAGTTGCAGATCTAGATGGTTTCAGAATTTAAAGGTTTTCCAATTTTAGGAAGGTAAAAAGGAGTCTATACCATACATTGTACAATACAGAGTATTAGAGAGCCACAACATAGCTGCAGTGAAATACATGAACATCTCCAGTAAGTACGATAAAGACTATGTAATCAAGTCAGTTCAGGTCTGGTTTTGCTAGAAAATGAGTTCTGGCAGCAAATATATGAAAAAGAAATTCAATTTTCAGTTTTTTGGAGTTCAGGATTCAGAGAAAAGCCTATGGTCCTGTGGGCTGGTGATGACAAAGGTCAGGTGCTGAAGTTTGATTGGGGTTTGAATCTTGACTAGAGCATTCACAAGCTTCATGAGCAGGGGTAAGTTTCTTTACACTTCTAAACTTCATTGTAACCACCTATAAAATAAGAACAGTATCTACTTCACAGAGATTTGGTGAGGGTTAAAATGTGCTTAACATTTAAACCAGAGGCAGTGGCTCACGCATGTAATCCTAGCTACTTGGGAGGCTGAGATGGGCAGATCACTTGAGGCCGGGAGTTTGAGACCAGCCTGGGCAATGTAGCAAGACCCCCATCTCCATAAATAAAAATTTAATAAACCACAATATTTAACAGTCACATATTCTTAAAACTTAGAAAAGAGGCTAATTAAATAGAAATCACTAATGATGCTGATGATACTCAAACAGAATAGTCTGAGGCCATGGGATACACAATCGAATTGTCAGTTACTGCTTGGTCAGCCCTGAGAACCCATTCCCTGGGCTCATCTGATGATTCTGCAATAATTAAAACTCAACTACTAGGCATGGTCTAAGAGAACCAAATTTCAGGAAGCATTTTCTTCAAGCTTCCTTGGATTATCAGTCTGTTATAAAACTCATGTGGAAAGAAACTTTTATCTGTCTCTGTATCCCTCATAGCACATATTATAGTGCCTCGCCTATGGTAGCTTCT